ACATTCATCGATGGAAGGTGAAATTTGAATCCTTAAAAGGCATACACTCTACACACACAGGGTGTTGGAGAGATCAACAGTGTGTTTAGAGACCATACGCTTCAGTACACGCAGTATGTGTTTGAAGTAGTCCAGGAATGGCCCAGGGATCACATCCAGGGTTACGTGATTGCCAGGCACGCTTGGTCACTCTCGGCTCCAAGGGCTCAAAGTCGTGACACTAACCTCCCTAGTCTGCCGGGCTGGCTGACCCTCAACCCGAGGTCCCTCGAGCTAAAATAGCCAGGCTAGTGTGACTTACGAGGGCTGATGCTGGTACAGGGGAGCGTGTCAACTTCACGCGCAGATGGCCACGGGAACAATCGTGCTATGTATGGCACTAGAAAGGGTACCCGGCCGTGCAAGGGGTCGTCCCCTCAAGGCTGCTCCATTTGAGTGTTGCGTGGCCCCCCAGAATGCACTCAATCTGCCGTCAGAACATGCGTGTCGACATGCCTACCCCTATCTAGGGAATTTTTAGATGGTGGACCTTTCCCTAATATATTAATAAATTTATAGAAATTTTATAAAACTTTATTCATTCGACCAGAACATTTTACCTCTAGGACTCCTACCATACTTCAAAGGGAATATGTGACCCGACCTTGATACATATTTCACTGTTCAGTCCCTTTGCAAATATTAGTGAGTGGTGACCCCAGGAGTCCAGCCTCCAACCTTGGAGAGACAAACATATTAACTCTTTTAAAGCACTAGATTAACGTTTTATTTGTGTGCACTGAACGTGATGTTCTTGCTGTGTTGAGACATCAATTCCTCAGCCTCTCCTACCTAACCTCTGGTAAGTTATTGCAGTGTAGTTCATACCTCATATATTTCTGGCCATACTGGCCGTAGGCTGCTTACTCAGCTCATCGAGATCTGCTTACTCAGCTCATCTGCTTACTCAGCTCAATCTCACCTGCTAACAACCCCTCATGCTAAAGTGGTGTTGCCAGACATCACACCCACTTCCAGCTGCCCCTTTCTTTTTTTCTCCACTCCTCCTCTTTCTTTAACCTTGTTGTTTTAGATTCAGCTACTCTGAACGAAATGTTCATGTAGCACGGGCTATGGTGAGCCCGAATCTTTAACCTGTTTCCCTCCTCCACTAATCTTCCTTCGACAGTCCTTCCGTTCCTTCTCTTCCACCTGACCCCACAGATCCCCATTCTCTTCCACCTGTCATCTTCCCCCCCCCACCCCCACCCCTAGCTGCTATTCCACAAGTTCACCTTCTCCATTTATCTCCCTCCTCCGCCAATTCTCCTCCTTCATCTGTCACCATCCACCCCTTGTCCTCCACCTCATCTTCCTTCATCTATCTTCCTCCTCCACACACTTCCATGTTGGATCTATCAGTTAACTTTGTAAATGCACACAGGAAAGATAGTGTACACTCTACATTAGTAAATCATTTAACACTGTGCAGCATCACACCACATTACTCAGGTTATTGGTAACTATGTGTGTATCAGTGCTATACCGACGGTTCTGTAGAAGAAGGTTAAAGATGTACCGGATGTGCATGTAATATATTTAAGCAATCTTCTTTCGTACATACAGCAATGAAGCGCGTTAATGATTGGGCAAGTACAACTCAAACCCAACTTGCAGACATATACCTTGCCGCTTAACTTTTAAAAGACAAAGGCTGTGACTTATATACTGTGACTCGCAGAGTGCACTCCTGGCGTTGAACGCACATAGAAGTAACACCCAGAAAATAGTGATATTGGAATGAATGTTTCAGCTGCTAAAGAAAACATTATTTTAAATTAAATTCGTTTTGATACCATCACATGTTGGCACTTCAGAGCATGACACTGTTGGCATGCTTGCGAAGACAACGTTATACAAAACCCAGCATTAGAAATTGATATGGGTGTTTCATGAGCAGTGAAAAAGAGAATACTTAAACATATATCTAATTAAAATCTTTCTGACAACAAATTCATAAAGACGTGAAAACTGTAACATTAAACATTATGATAAATATCGTTAGGAGACATTTATATATGAACCTAATAGAGCACGAACTCGGTAATGTGATGTTATAGTGGTCAGAATACGCCTGGGATATAGAGGTATCAGGCTGCTTTCTCAAAACCCAAATGTCGAGTTCACAATGTGTCCAGAGAATGATGGATGCCTACTACTACTAACTTCTACTAAGGACTTTCTATCTTCTCAATATCATCCCCATTTTAGGTAAACACAAAGTCTAGGTGTTGCTGGTGGGTCCTCTTCCAGGTCTTGCAGGTTCTGTAATGTGCTGTTTCAAGAAGTACTTAAATGTTGCAGAGAACAGTTTTTCTCTCCATGTCTCATTAGCTCTGTGAGACTTTTTATGTTTCATCACCCCCCCCCCCCTCCTTCTGTGAGACATCTTCTCGTGCTTATTCAGTCTACTTCTTCGTGACTTGATTGTAGCTGGATTAGGTTCTGGGAGCTCTTTTACTGCCCGGCCCGGGGTCATGCTTGACTTGTGAGAGCTTGGTCCAACAGGTTGTTGCTTGGAGCGGCGCTCAGGCCCACATATCCACCATAGCCCGTTTGGTTCGGCATTTCTTGCAGAAAAGTGTCAAGTTTTTTCTTGAAAACTTCAACTTTTTATTCCGGAAATATTTCTTATACTTGCTAGGAGGATATTGAACAGCCGTGGACCTCTGATGTTCATGCAGTGTTCTCTGATTGTGCCTCTACTCTTCACTGGCTCTATTTGCATTTCCTTCCATAGAATTCCCTCCAGTATGTTGTTATTTTACTAAGTAAATCTGGGACCTGAGGCACAGTATTTTCCATGTACATATTATTTAATACTTTTCTCGTCTTTTTACTAGAAAGTATATATTACGAGCTTTGAGAGGGGACCCTCTCAATAAATTAGGTGGTATATTGGGTCTATGTGTGTCGTATATGTTCTCTGAATTCCGTTTGAGCAATATCTCATGTTCTGAAGAGGGAAGTGAGTATCGAACAGTACTCAGGTAGGAACAGCACCAGTGATTTGAACAGTATGAACTTTGTGATGGGATCCCTGGATTTGAAGGTTCTCGTAATCCATCCTATCATTTTCCTATCTGACGCTATATTAGCTTGGTTATGCTTCCTAAACGTTAAGTCGTAATACATAATTTTTCCCAGATTCTATAAACGTTATTTATTATTTATTTGTTTATTTATTTACAAGAAGGTATAACGGGTTTGTGAGATTACATAATATAGGTATTTTTGCATTCTTGCAAAGCCACTAGCACGCATCACGTTTCGAGCAGAAATGTTGCTTTCCTACTGTGGGCAGATTTGATTGTTTTTTACACTGTATTTTGTTTAGGGTCTTTAATTTTTACCATTCATAAGTACCTGCAATTTATACCTGTTAAACATCATGTTATTTTCTGCTGACCAGTCGAAAACGTTATTAATATCAGCCTGTAGTTTTATAATGTCTCCTACAGAAGTGACCTTTATGGTGATTGTTGAATCATCTGCAAAAAAAAAAAAAAAGAGACGAAGCGGTGATTTGTATTTTTTCTTTATCTGATATGAGAATACGGAAAACAAGTGGTGCAAAGACTGTGCCCTGAGGAACAGAGATTTAAACTGTGCTTGGACTCGATTTTAATTATTTGACTGTTTCTCTTCACGTCCTGTTTGACAAAAAATTGAATATCCATAGCACTACTTAATCTGTTGTTCCTATTGACCTCAATTTGTAGGCTGAATTCCCCAAGTAATAGAATCCTAGCTTAGTATGCCTATCCTCATACTTATTAAGCAAGTGAATCCTAGCAACAGTTTTTATATATTTTGTTTGTTATAATCCAGGATTGCATTTTTTATAAACATTCATCTGTAACAGTGATGGTATACTTGAAAATCTTATGGTATCATTGTGTGTGGCTCTTTACATAGTAGAAGTTTGAATAATTGTAGGTGCTATATTTTGGTTACCAACCTCTTGCTTAAACATGTTTCATAATTTGGATTTTTCTGGATGAAATTACTTCAAAATTGTTCTTTTGTTACGAAGAGAACATGCATCTGGTTGTTCCATTTTGTACCTCTTTTTGTCGTGTTGTTCTCGGGAGGTATTGAGAAAGTGCATAAGATGCATCACAATAACGTGGCTGAATGATGTGGCCTGCTCTGTGTGTGTATTTTATAAAAATCCTCAAAATGCACATTTTACTCATAATTTCTCAATAAGATGATCAAACCACACACCAGAAGATGTAGAAACAACGATATTTTGAACCGTCCTGTACCATTATCAAGTCGTATTTGATATACGACTATGCCCCCCATCGCATTTAGATGCCCTATGCACCCAGTGTATCTAGATGCACCTATGCACACAGTGTATCTAGATACACCTATGCACACAGTGTATCTAGATGCCCTATGCACCCAGCGTATCTAGATGCACCTATGCACACAGTGTATCTAGATGCACCTATGCACACAGTGTATCTAGATGCACCTATGCACACAGTGTATCTAGATGCACCTATGCACACAGCGTATCTAGATGCTCCTATGCACACAGTGTATCTAGATGAACCTAGCAGTATCATTATAAATCGGAAATCTTACAATTGCTTTGTGAAATACTTCTTAAAAATTATATTTTAATATATCAAAGAATTAAAGCTGTTCCCAAATATCTCGTTTACAAGTCCTCTTAATAGAAGTAATTTGTTCTGAATTCTTTCTATACAACATGAAATTATGCCATTATTGTTAGATTATTATGGGACTTCTTTTAAAATGGTCGCTATTCTATTGTTAACAATTTGATTGTTAAACATTAACTGAAGTTTTCTGATTCTCATTTGCGAAATCACATTCCATAACGTTTTTGTCAAGGAATTCAAATAAACACAATGTATATTATCCATTTATTGAGGTAAACTTGTAATGGGTCATTCGTCTTGTGTAGTGGTTCAGTTACTTGCCAACTGGAGGGAGGTAGCCATTTGACGGAGGGCTGATGTTGCTACCTGAGTAGCCAGGCTCCTTGTAGCTTCCTCCTTTTGTACCTTTATTGCTGTAACTCCCACCGTCGCTGTAGCTCCCACTACCTCCGCTGTAGTCACTACCTTTACTGCTACTGCCTCCGCTATAACCATCACCGTTGTCACCGCTGTAGCCACCACCACCTCCGTTATAGTCAATACCACTGCCTTTATTGTTACTATAACCACCACCACCTCCGTTGTAGCCACCACCACCATTACCGCTGTAACCACCACTACCACCATTGCTGTAGCCACCACCACCATTACTGCTGTAACCACTACCACCACCATTGCTGTAGCCACCACCACCACCATTGCTGTAACCACCACTACCACCCTTGCTGTAGCCACCACCACCACCACCGCTGTAACCATTACCTCCTGCGAAGAATGCTGGACCACCATCGCTGTACCTAACGCCGCCACTGTAACCTCTGCTCCCAATGGAAATTCCCGAACCACTATTTTTATAACCACCACCGCCGCCGCTGTAACCGTTGCCACCGCCGCCGCTGTAACCGTTGCCACCGCCGCCGCTGTAACCGTTGCCACCGCCGCCGCTGTAACCGTTGCCACCGCCGCCGCTGTAACCGTTACCACCGCCGCTGTAACCGTTGCCACCGCCGCCGCTGTAACCGTTGCCACCGCCGCTGTAGCCCCCATTGCCGCCATTGAAACTACCTCCGACCCTGCTGTAGCTACTACCGCCTCCGTTGTAGTCATCATCGCCTCCGTTGTAGCTGTTACCACCGCCGTTGTAACTGTTACCATCCCCGTTGTAGCCACTACCGCCTCCGTTGTAACCGTTACCGCCTCCGTTGTAGCTATTACCACCCCCGTTGTAGCCACTACCGCCTCCGTTGTAGCTATTACCGCCTCCGTTGTAGCTACTACCACTTCCACTGTAGCCACTACCGCCTCCGTTGTAGCCACTACCACCCCCGTTGTAGCTACTACCGCTTCCACTGTAGCCATCATCACCGCCGTTGTAGCCGTTTCCGCCGTTGAAACCACCTCCATTGTAACCATCTCCGCCTTTGAAGCCACCGCCATTGTAGCCATCTCCGCCTTTGATGCCACCGCCATTGTAGCCATCTCCGCCTTTGAAGCCACCGCCACTGTAGCCATCTCCGCCTTTGAAGCCACCTCCATTGTAGTCATCTCCGCCTTTTAAGCCACCGCCGTTATAACCTCCGTTACCCACGTCGCCGTAGCCGCTGTCTCCACCGCCGAAGCCATTAAAAGCGTCGCCGATGTTGAAGAAGCTGGTGGGTGACCGCCCTCCCCGGCTGCGCTGCTTGCTTCCCGCTACCGAGTACCTACGGCAGTTCCCGCCCCCGCAGGAGGTGGACGGCCCCGCCAGGAGCACTGTCAACAGGAGGACCACGAACTGGGGGCCGAGGAGAGAAGCATATTTGATAAGGCACGATTGTTATTCTTATGATAGACGTATTGATGAAATGTAATTATATTATGAAATTGATCAGTAATGTGTGTATATGTATATATATATATATATATATATATATATATATATATATATATATATATATATATATATATATATATATATATATATATATATATATATATATATATATGTGTGTATATCACGAAAATAAACACGTGATTAAGAATGTGACAATGTCAGACCACGGAGGAAAAATGAAACAGGAAATTTCCTTAAGTACTTTCGTATATTAAATACATCTTCAGAAGGTCCAAACCTTCTGAAGATGTATTTAATATACGAAAGTACTTAAGGAAATTTCCTGTTTCATTTTTCCTCCGTGGTCTGACATTGTCATATATATATATATATATATATTGTGTGTGTGTGTGTATGGAAGACCCCACTCACCATAGCTGAGGTCTCAGAAGGCACTGACACCTGCTCTAAACTCTGCCTCTTTATATCCCTGGAAGCATGACTTCCTGGCCAGGGTCACGCGCCTGGAGCGTGGAGTCCTGCGTGATCCAGGCCCGGGTTCGAGGTGTGACGAAGGGGTCGAGTGGGAGGACAAGTGCTCACCGTGACGGGCTGGAGACCCCCCAACAGGAAGTTGATACACGGTGGATTAACTAAACTATGGGGTCAAGGTCTTGCATGGTGGCCGAAATGATGGGATACGTTTTTGGTACAGTTTTTTACTGGTTAAGATTATTGTTCGTTGTATATTTACGTTCAAGTGATTGGTGCAGTGTGTAACTTGACTTCGGTATTCAGTGTGGGAAGTGTGTTGACACACTCAGTTTGTGAATATTTCACAATAGTGTAATGGAAGGAATTAGAATATATGTACATTGGCTCAAGCCTGATAAATTAAAGAAAATTGTGTATAGTAATATAGGACAAGACGCAATTTGTAAGACTGTGTACGTGTGTGAGTATGTGCTTGTGTCCTCAACTAGTTGTGCTTGTGGAGGCTGAGCTTCGGCTTCTTGATCCCGCTCTCAATCAACTGGTGTACGGATTCCTGAGCCTTTTGGGCTCTATCATATCTACATTAGAGATTGTGTATGGAGTAAGCCTCCACCACATCACTACTTAATGCATTATATTTGTTAACTACTCTGAAAGTGTGTGTGTGTGTGTGTGGGAATATGTGCGTGTGTGAGTATGTAGTATGTGTGTATTCACCTATTTGTGCTTGCGGGGGGAGAGCTTCGGCCCTTTGGTCCCGCCTCTCAACTGTCAATCAACTGGTGTACAGATTCCTAAGCCTACTGGGCTTGATTTGTAGCTTCATGCACCCAGCAGGTTCATGCACACACTAATGTTTGTGTGTGTGTGTGTGTACTCACCTAGTTGTGTATGCGGGGGTTGAGCTCTGGCTCTTTGGTCCCGCCTCTCAACCGTCAATCAACAGGTGTACAGATTCCTGAGCCTATTGGGCTCTATCATATCTACACATGAAACTGTGTATGGAGTCAGCCTCCACCACATCACTTCCTAAGGCATTCCATTTGTCAACCACTCTGACACTAAAAAAGTTCTTTCTAATATCTCTGTGGCTCATTTGGGCACTCAGTTTCCACCTGTGTCCCCTTGTGCGTGTTCCCCTTGTGGTAAATAGACTGTCTTTATCTACCCTATCAATTCCCTTCAGAATCTTGAATGTGGTAATCATGTCCCTCCTAACTCTTCTGTCTTCCAGCGAAGTGAGATTTAATTCCCGTAGTCTCTCCTCGTTGCTCATACCTCTCAGCTCGGGTACTAGTCTGGTGGCAATCCTTTGAACCTTTTCCAGTTTAGTCTTATCCTTGACTAGATATGGACTCCATGCTGGGGCTGCATACTCCAGGATTGGCCTGACATATGTGGTATACAAAGTTCTGAATGATTCTTTACACAAGTTTCTGAATGCCGTTCGTATGTTGGCCAGCCTGACATATGCCGCTGATGTTATCCGCTTGATATGTGCTGCACGAGACAGGTCTGGCGTGATATCAACCCCCAAGTCTTTTTCCTTCTCTGACTCCTGAAGAATTGTCTCTCCCAGATGATACCTTGTATCTGGCCTCCTGCTCCCTACACCTATCTTCTTTAAATTACATTTGGTTGGGTTAAACTCTAACAACCATTTGTTCGACCATTTCTTCAGCTTGTCTAGGTCTTCTTGAAGCCTCAAACAGTCCTCTTCTGTTTTAATCCTTTTCATAATTTGTGTGTGTGTGTGTGTTTGTGTGTGTGTGTGTGTGTGTGTGTGTGTGTGTGTGTGTGTGTGTGTGTGTGTGTGTGTGTGTGTGTGTGTGTGTGTGTGTGTGTGTGTGTGTGTGTGTGTGTGCGTGCGTGCGTGCGTGCGTGCGTGTGTGTGTGTGTGTGTGTGTGTGTGTGTGTGTGTGTGTGTGTGTGTGTGTGTGTGTGTGTGTGTGTGTGTGTGTGTGTGTGTGTGTGTGTGTGTGTGTGTGTGTGTGTGCGTGCGTGCGTGCGTGCGTGTGGTTGATGAGTGCGTTTATCAGCACGTGAAGGACAGCTGACAGGAGCCATCAAGTACAGCGACACCTCGGGAATCCTCCACTTGTGCTTGACCTGATGACCTTAGGTGCTTGACCTGGTGACCTTAGGTGCTTGACCTGGTGACCTTAGGTGCTTGACCTGGTGACCTGCGGTGCTTGACCTGGTGACCTCAGGTGCTTGACCTGGTGACCTTAGGTGCTTGACCTGGTGATCTTAGGTGCTTGACCTGGTGACCTTAGGTGCTTGACCTGGTGACCTTAGGTGCTTGACCTAGTGACCTAAGGTGCGTGACCTAGTGACCTTAAGTGCTAGACCTAGTGACCTTAGGTGCGTGACCTAGTGACCTTAGGTGCGTGACCTAGTGACCTTAAATGCTAGACCTGGTGACCATAGGAGCTAGACCTAGTGACCTTAGGAGCTAGACCTGGTGACCTTAGGTGCTAGACCTGGTGACCTTAGGTGCTAGACCTGGTGACCTTAGGTGCTAGACCCGGTGACCTTAGGTGCATGACCTGGTGACCTTAAGTGCTTGACCTGGTGACCTTAGGTGCTTGACCTGGTGACCTTAGGTGCTTGACCTAGTGACCTAAGGTGTGTGACCTAGTGACCTTAAGTGCTAGACCTGGTGACCTTAGGTGCGTGACCTAGTGACCTTAGGTGCGTGACCTAGTGACCTTAAGTGCTAGACCTGGTGACCATAAGAGCTAGACCTGGTGACCTTAGGAGCTAGACCTGGTGACCTTAGGTGCTAGACCTGGTGACCTTAGGTGCTAGACCTGGTGACCTTAGGTGCATGACCTGGTGACCTTAAGTGCTTGACCTGGTGACCTTAGGTGTTTGACCTGGTGACCTTAGGTGCTTGACCTGGTGACCTTAGGTGTTTGACCTGGTGACCTTAGATGTTTGTGTGGGAACCAACCTGTGAGATTTATATTTATTTAATATATATGAATTTATATTTACGTTAATTTGTATACTTCGATAGCAATTTGTATGATGTTAAGTGGACTGTATTTCTGCAATAATCTCACAAATCGATCCTCTGCACATTATGGGGGTTTATATTGAATTTATATATATGCAGCCAATCAAACTACAGTATTAGACTACATACATTGAAGAGGTTCCTTATCTTATTTGTACAGCAGGCCTTAGTCCACCAGATATAACTAGGGTGTAGACACCAAATTTTCCTCGTGTGAGGTGGCTTCCATCACCCTGGTAACTGATGCTCAAAGCATGCTTCTTCGTCTTGACCTGTCAAAAGGGCGCTAGCTGTAAAGCCAGAATCCGAATATATGACAGCTATATCAGAGAAAACACTGTACAAGGAACCATAAAGACCTAGGCTTAATTACGTTGTTTGAGTCGATCATTCGTGTTCTAACCGGTGCGCCCTATCTATTGACATTAATGGCCAAAAATTATTAGATAAACGGGTTTCGGAAAGACACTTCCCTTGAGATTGATGACAGCATGTTGATGATGGCAGATCACTACTCTGATCTTCCATAACACTTCGTCCAAGAGAATTTATAGGAGCCGAATTTGCTCCACGACTCTGTGGTCTTAACAACAATAACAATGGCTGACCACTCCCCCCTCACTGACGCTACTGGCCTACATTGTCCAGATATCAGTAAGTGATAGAAGGGTCACATTTTCTCTATTTTAATTCTGATAATTAAGTTAAATTATATGAGATGTTTTTATGATGGTAAAGTCCAAAGACTAATGTATTTAAGAATAATTCCCACCATAATAAGTGGTGAATTTATGATGGTATGTGGTAATGATATCCTGTTTTCTATAGACGGAAATTCCACTACAAGTTACATTTTCTATGGGTTAACTTGTTTATAGAACACAGCAATATTATCTGCCTGTATGATATTATTAAATGGTGTCAGATTTTCCGACAGTTTGACCTGGTGACCTTAGGTGTTTAACCTGGTGACCTTAGATGCTTGACCTGGTGACCTTAGGTGCTTGACCTGGTGACCTTAGGTGCTTGACCTGGTGACCTTAGATGCTTGACCTGGTGACCTTAGGTGCTTGACCTGGTGACCTTAGATGTTTGACCTGGTGACCTTAGGTGTTTGACCTGGTGACCTTAGGTGTTTGACCTGGTGACCTTATGTGCATGACCTGGTGACCTTAGGTGCGTGACCTGGTGACCTTAGATGCTTGACCTGGTGACCTTAGGTGCTTGACCTGTTGACCTTAGGTGCTTGACCTGGTGACCTTAGGTGCTTGACCTGGTGACCTTAGATGCTTGACCTGGTGACCTTAGGTGCTTGACCTGGTGACCTTAGGTGCGTGACCTGGTGACCTTAGGTGCGTGACCTGGTGACCTTAGATGTTTGACCTGGTGACCTTAGGTGTTTGACCTGGTGACCTTAGATGCTTGACCTGGTGACCTTAGGTGT